ACACTTTTACACATTGACCATTTTACACACAGACACTTTTACACACAGAAGCTTTTACACACATACGTTTGTACTTACAGACCCTTTTACACCAAGACGCTTTTACATACAGACCCTTTTACACACAGACTCTTGAAAACACAGGCTCCTTTACACACAGAGGCTTTTACACACAGACGCTTTACACACAGACACTTTTACATACAGACCCTTTTACACACAGACACTTTTACACACAGACGCTTTTACACACAGAAGCTTTTACACACAGAAGATTTTACACACAGACCCTTTTACGCACAGACCCTTTTACACACAGACGCTTTTACACACAGAAGCTTTTACACACAGAAGCTTTTACGCACAGAAGCTTTTACACACAGAGGCTTTTACACGCAGACTCCTTTACACACAGACGCTTTTACACACAGACGCTTTTACATACAGACCCTTTTACACACAGACCCTTTTACACACAGAAGCTTTTACACACAGATGCTTTTACACTTTACACAGAAGCTTTTACGCAAAGAAGCTTTTACACACAGAGGCTTTTACACGCAGACTCCTTTACACACAGACGCTTTTACACACAGACGCTTTTACACACAGACCCTTTTACACAGAGACCCTTTTACACACACAAGCTTTTACACACAGAAGCTTTTACACACAGAAACTTTTACACACAGAAGTTTTTACACACAAACACTTTCACACACAGAAGCTTTTACACACAAACACTTTCACACAAACACTTTCACACACAGAGACCGGACCCGTGAAATCGCAATTTACTTTAGTTTTCGACGTTCAACGTCCATTTCGTGCGAAAGGGTCGCGATGGACAAAGTAAAATCGCAAGTTTTCCTCAGTTTTTGACGTCCAACGTCCATTTCGTGCGAATGGGTTGCCCGTGACACCTCAAAATCGCAATTTTACCCCAGTTTTTGACGTCCAACGTCCATTTCGTGCGAAAGGGTTGCGATGGACACCTCAAAATCGCAATTTTACCTCAGTTTTTGACGTCCAACGTCCATTTCGTGCGAAAAGGTTGCGGCGGACTAACTAAAATCGCAATTTTACCTCAGTTTTTGACGTCGAACGTCCACTTCGTGCGAAAGGGTTGCGATGGATACTTCAAAATCACAATTTTACCTCAGTTTTTGACGTCCAACATCCATTTCGTGCGAAAGGGTTGTGACTGGCTCCAAATCGCAAATTTACTTCAATTTTTGACGTCCAACGTCCATTTCGTGCGAAAGGGTTGTGACTGGCTCCAAATCGCAAATTTACTTCAATTTTTGACGTTCAACGTCCATTTCGTGCTAAAGGGTTGCGGCGGATACCTTAAAATCGCAAATTTCCCGTAGTTTTTCACGTTTCAGGTCCATTTCGTGCGAAAGGGTTGCGAGAGGAGATCTGCAGATGTGAGGGTGTGAAGATGTAGATCTGCAGATGTGAGGGTGTGAAGATGTAGAAGATTTAGATCTGCAGATGTGAGGGTGTGAAGATGTAGAAGATTTAGATCTGCAGATGTGAGGGTGTGAAGATGTAGAAGATGTAGATCAGCAGATGTGAGGGTGTGAAGATGTAGATCAGCAGATGTGAGGGTGTGAAGATGTAGATCAGCAGATGTGAAGGTGTGAAGATGTAGATCAGCAGATGTGAAGGTGTGAAGATCTAGATCAGCAGATGTGAGGGTGTGAAGATGTATTACAACGGCTGCTTTTTTACGAAGAACCCTTCGCAGGCGCTCTCGGGAAAAATCTTGAATCTCTGGAGTCACTGTTGAAACGTGCCAGGGCCCATAGGTTATATCCTGGATCCGTTCGGAGGACCTGAACATATGTCTGGCCGCGATGTTTCTTTCCCCATGTGATCCTGCATTGAGACCAATCTCCTATTGTCATTTGTGTGGAGGCCCGTGGGACCATTGCACCAGAAGTGCCCTTCGTTCCAATCAGAGGAGTGCTCACCTCTGGTCGTGGCATCGGAGCTCCCAACTCGATTCGGCGGCCCTCCAAGTCCAGAATAACGTCTTCCTTGCTCTCTTCCAGCATCTGCCAATTGGACACACGGGTGGTCACCGAGGTGGTTGATTCGGCTACACTAGGAGCTGCTTGACGTTGAAGAGCTTGAGTCACCCTTTGAGATGTCACTGGCAGAGTGTCGGAACTTGTTGGTCCTGTCAAAGCCCACGGTGGTGATGAACGAACAACTGGGATCTTTGGAGATCCTTCGACTCCGGTTGAATTTCCAGTCGAACCTTTGGAGGCACGACGCTGGGCTCCTTGAGACATGAGGCTTTGGAGCATGGCACGCTGGTTCTGCAGTTCTTGAACTGTACGCTCCATTGTCTGCATCATCTCTGGCGGGCTGTCTGAATCCTTGGGCAATGTCTCCAGTTGATGGATCAAAAACTGCAACAGCATGGTGAGGAGGCTGATCACAGCCTCGGCCACGGTCTTCAGTGAGTTCATCATCTGCGCTGGCGGCATGATTGATATTACCGGTCGAAAAATCTGATGCGGGCACTGCGGAATCCTTTGAGACTGGCTTGGCCATGGTGACGGAAATATTTTCAATTTGTTTGTCAACATCATGGGAACCATGTGTCGGATCATCACCCCTGGATCGAACACCCCAAACATGATACTGGGAAGAAAAAGGCTTGAATAAAAAAAATGATGTTGCAGCACACAGCTGGAGAACATCTAATATATACAGCTCGGCCGGGTTCAACTCCAAATGGATCTTTCTGTCAAGCCTTTGAAGATAGCATGAATTATGGGTAGTGTCAAGGATTCCGCCAAGCTGTTTGAACTGAACAGGAATGGAGTCTGGCCTGACAAACCTCAATGCTCAACCACTACTTTCTCTTGCTTCGAGGGTACTTTGCAATGGCACTTGAACCTGGTATTCGCTTTGAAGTGCTTGGTTATTGCCAAATCGGAACTTCACTTTACTGGGAGTTTTACGAACCTTCTTTTGGATTGCTTCCGGCAATTGATCATACAGCTGATCCCACACTTTCTCACCGATCACACGCCGGCTGGCTCCAGTGTCGAGGATAGCATGACACGGTCGGTCATTTGCAGCTGCTAGGTTACAAACATCTGGCAGCGGTTCCACGGCATCGGCAGAAGAAGGCTGCTCGGTTTTCGCTCAAGGCAACTGGGTACCTGGCGGCGACACCAATGCAGGTACAAATCTGTGCAATTTCAAGGAATCATTCAGCAAAGCCTGGACAACAAAGACATCAGCTATTTCTTTATTGCACCCTGGAAAAGATTTACTCGGCAAGGACATGTTGCTGCTTTCAGGCTCATGGTCGGATGAATCAGGCTCGGAGTGCGCCTCTTGGACGGGAGACAGCTGAAACTCTTCGGCAATGCTGCCCGCAGGTCCGGAGTCCGAATTTCTGTCTTGGTTCGGACACTCTGCCTTCCAATGGCCCTTTTGATGACATATGCGGCAAGTGGAACGAGCGATGCGGGCAAGAAGTTGCTCCCGCTGCTTCTTTCCCTTGCCGCGTCCAGCGGACTTTCCGGCTACGGCGCTCAAAAGTTTGGATCTGGCCTCCAAGTAGGTCACCATGGCATCGTGCATTTCAGGGACATCTTGGAGGAAATCTTCAAGCTCCAGTTCGAAGTTGTGCACCACCAAAGCGTCTTGATCTTCAGCAGCAACCATGATGTCCATGTATTCTTGATCAAGTTCTGGTTCAACATCTTCTGTCAGGGCCATGAAGGCTCTTTCCACGTGAGAATCATCAGAGACACGACTGCTACCACCATCCAAGCAATCCAAAAGACTTCACGACAGTCACGACAGGATCATCCTCTTGGCTTAGCAGCGGCTGGCGAAGCAAGACATAGGCCTGGACCTCCTCCAACTTGGTCTCGCGACTCAGGAGTTCGACAAAATTGGATTCCATTGAACCGAATCATGGCTTTCATCCTGACGTTGAACTGTTCCATAAAAGGCTTTCTCAAAGTATTCATACCTTTCCTCAAGTTCTGTGGCACCCTTTGATCCACCTATTGCACTGACAAGCAAAGCAGCACCTGAGGTATCATTCACTGTGAATTTTGCTGGGTCAAGTCTGGCGACTTTCTTGAATGCAGTTCCTTCCGCAAGCAAGGCAGCACGAGGGGCTAACTGATTCAGATAACCATCTGGCCACATGGCCGCCCGAAACTTCAATTTCTGAGTGTGCTCCTTCACATTGGTGGTCCCAGACACGAACTTAGGGATACTATTCCAAGGCAGTTGTGGGGCAGGAGTCAGATTGGGCTCATCAGGAATGGGTGTTTCCACGGCCGCTGACATGGACGGTGGCATCATCACCTTCCCTGGATCCCACTCTTTGGCACTTGGACGCAATCACGTCCAAAGTGGCAAGCTAGAGAACAAGGCTCCGCTACCATTGTGGGAGGATTGAACCTCCCCCACTGTGTAGTGTTCCAAACACCAGAAATCAAATGGTCAAATGCTATTGAAGGAACCCTGTTGTTCCTCACCAAGTCCAACCGCAGCACAGCCCAATGTTTTCCCGGAAACACTGGCGACAGCACCAGTTAGGCATCCAATGCCCACCTCTACCACTTTCCTCCGCAGGTGCTCGAGACGCGAACACGTCGGAAAGCGGCCACATGACATCATCAAGGTTCCATGCCATAAGTGTCACATCAAGTTTGATAAGAAGTGGATAATTCACAGTATGTTTATGTATATGTGTATCTATATGTGTGTGTGTATAATTAAATTATATATATATATTATGTGGATTACGTATTAATACATATATAATTATATAGATATTCTGTATATAGAATATGTTTTTAATGTGCGTCATTAAGTGGGTTAGGAGCATGGTGGAGATCTTAGATCCCCAGCAAGCCAAGGAAACGTTGTAGCAAACTAATCCAATTAGAATATTATGTGTATATATATATGCATATACTGTATATACATAGACGATCCTCCTGGTGCAGGTTGGGACTTGGCGATGTTTGGAGATTTCTCATGGAGTGCCTCAGCTACCAGCATGGCTGGTTGGATGCGCGGATGCGCATTTCAGGTGCGAAAAATCAGAAGCAATGTCAAAATCATCTCAGCCCAGCAAGCACCATTATCATCGATCATCACCATCATCATCATCATCATCATTATCACCTTCATCATCATCATATGTTTATTGTTCATGTTAGTTATAATGATCACCGTCATCATCACTGCCATCGTCACCACTGCCACTGGCCACAGCCTACGGTGATAGTATATCACCTAAATATCCCGTGATATCCCATTGAATCCCAATTAGACCCATGCATTATTCCCAAAAAACTGAGGTTTCGTCGTAAGGAGGGTTTCTGCCGAGATGAGTTGAAGGCGCTTTCCGAGTGCTTCAAGCACCATGATGAGGTGCAGAACATCCGGTGGTTGGGAGTTAAGGAACTAGGGATATCCACAGTCTCTATTGGGAGCAAAGGAGCCAGTACGAGTTCCCAACCACATTCTATATAGACATTATCTGGTAAAGCCATGTAAAACGCAGTATTGAAATAGAGGGAAATACACGCCAAAATTTGTTGATTCCAACGTTGCTGCTTCATTTTTGGCTTTTTCCGGGTGTAAGAAATGAAGTTGTGTGATTGCAGCTGATTTTCACAATAGTCGTTTGAGGATTTCCATACACCCAACTTAGCTGTGCCAGTTTCAAATGGTGATGTGTGAAATGTGATGCTATTATGTGTAGATTTGTATGTTCAGTTTTTAGTATGTATGTATATGATGTATGTGATGTGATGTGATGCAATGCAATGCAATGTAATGTAATGCAAGGTATCTATGTATACTGGTACGCGCAATGTATAAAACTAGACATGATACATGTACTGCATATAACTACACTTCGGTATTTTTTTAATATGCACCAATATGTACACGTCATTATTGCGTAAAACTTGTCATGGTTCTGCGTCACCGTGAGGACAACAGTGGAGAGCTGGATAACTTGGAATCACCTTTGGCACTACGAATGTTGGGTTTCCCTGTAGGGTGCGCCTGGTGGGGAGATGCGAATGGCATGGGGTTTTTGCCGCCGCAAAATTTGTTGGCTAGTGAATTTTCCTGATGTGGGTTATTTTGAAAATGGAGGACCCCTAAATACCATAGTTTATCATAGTTTCCCTCCTTGAAATGGCCGTAAATGGTGATATACCTCCATTTTCTGATTGTAGAGCCTTGTTCCGTGGTGTTGCAATTCTTGGACTGATAGGGGGATGGGTCTATACCTAGGGGACCAGCCATTGGGCTCACACCTGGGGTTCCCCAAAATCATTGAGCTCGACATGGAAAGAAACCCCATTGCTGGCTTTTTTGCTTTCTCATGCTTAATGCCACCGCTATTGGGTTCCTGAAATCCTTAGTTGAGAACAGTTGGCTGGTTTCAAGTTTCCGCGGACTCTACTTGGAGGCTCGGGGGCGGTTATAAGCACATAGGGGACATACTAGGTACATACGGCACTTACTATTTGGATACAGCGCTTACAGTATGTCACTTAGTGGACTTACTGGGACAGCACTTAGCGCACTTACGTAAGTGGCCTACAGGACTTACCTAAGTCCGCGAGCGCTTTTGTGTTTCCGCAAAACGCGATTTGGATTTTTTGTGTTTCCACGAAAACTTGCAACAGAATTTTGTGTTTTCACCAAAACCCCATTCAGAATTTTTGTGTTTCCACCAAATGTGAAACGGGATTTTGTGTTTCCGCAATTTTTTGTAAGTGCACTTAGCCTAGGTACGTAAGTAGCGTAAATCCGTTACAGGACTTACGCCACTTAGGGCTTAGGCTGCCTATCTCACTTAGCCCACATACGCTAAGTGGTTAGCCAAGTGCCATAAGTCGCGTAATCATTTATGAAACATAATATATAGTTAGCCAAAAACTGTAACTACTTACGTAAGTGACTTAGAGACAGCACCCAGTTTAGCACCACTTATAAGTTATAAGGTAACTTAGCACCACTTATAAGGTAGGTTACAGCACTTAGTAAGTAGGTTATATAAGTGCTCTAACCTTGCTATGTACTTATAACCGCCCCCGGCCCTCCAAGTACAGACCACCATCAGCTAGACATTTGCAACTCCCCATGTCGTTCATGGGCGGGAAAAAAGGCACAGGGAAAGCAACAAATTAGCATGAAGGGCACCTGAAGTCTGAAGAAAAAACATCTAATGTCAACGTAGGATTAATCAACCGCCCCCCCTGTATGTTCGACACTTGGAGGCTATATCGCAAGCCAAGAAGCTATGCATCAATACAAACCAAAAGAAAGCGAAGCAAAACATAGGCGCAAAATGGACGCAACTGATTCCGCCTCCTTCGGGGTGCACTGGGCTTTTCAGAAAGCAAAACAATATAATATACCGATGGAGCCGATGGAGCCGATGTAGCCCCTGGAGCCGGCAAGAAAGATGAGGCCGATGGGGCCGATGAGGCCAACGGAGCCGATGGAGCCGATGTGGCCGATGGAGCCGATGAGGCCGATGGAGCCGCTGGAGCCAATGAGGCCGATGGAGCCGATGAGGCCGATGGAGTCGCTGAACAAAGAGGCCGATGGGGCCGCTGGAGCCGATGAGGCCGATGGAGCCCATGGAGCCGACCGCTGGAGCCGATGAGGCCAATGGAGCCGATGAGGCCGATGGAGGTGCTGGAGCCGATGAGGCCGATGGAGCCGATGAGGCTGATGGAGCCGCTGGAGCCGATGAGGCCGATGGAGCCGATGAGGCCGATGGAGCTGCTGCAGCCAATGGAGCCGATGGAGCCAATTTGGATTCTCCTCGACGATTCCTTCCGCTGCTGGCTGCCCTTGGCTTCTCCTCTTCAGTTCTGGATTCCCTTGTTTCCTTCTCAGGCTCTTTTTCCTCCTTGGGTGGCTGGAACTCCTCGGCCTTGATGAGCTGCTTGGGGGGTGCTGGCGGTGCCCCCTTGGGAGTGAGGTTCAATCTCCCTTCTTCCTTGTTCTCCTCCTTGTCCTCCTTCGGCTCAACCTCCTCTTTCGAAGGTTGGGAGGGTGGCGGCCCCTCCCCTGTAGATGGTGTCCCGGTCGCCCCGCTGGTCACAACCGGGGGAGGGCAAGCCTCTGGAGCTCGTCCCTCAAGTCGGCCTCAAAGGTCCGCGCTTCGGCTAACGCGAAACCAATGAAACCTGGATGTGATGGAGCCGCTGGAGCCGATGAGGCCGATGGAGCTGATGAGGCCGCTGGAGCCACTGGAGCCGATGAGGCCGATGGAGCTGATGAGGCCGCTGGAGCCACTGGAGCCGATGAGGCCGATGGAGCTGATGAGGCCGATGGAGCCCATGGAGCCGATGAGGCCGATGGAGCTGGTGCAAGGTGGTGCTCCCGCAGTTCTACGTTGGTTTATAATCCCCATTAACTATAGATATAACCCCCATAAACCCTAGTTTTTGGACTTATAAACCAACTTAGCTAACTATATCCAACTATGGGGCACCACCTTGTGGCGCCGATGAGGCCGATGGAGCGGCTGGAGCCGATGAGGCCGATGGAGCTGATGAGGCCGATGGAGCTGCTGGAGCCGATGGAGCCGATGGAGCCGCTGGAGCCGATGAGGCCGATGGAGGCGCTGGAGCCGATGAGGCCGATGGAGCCGCCGATGGAGCCGATGAGGCCGATAGAGCCGATGAGGCCCTTCCTCCCCAGAACACACCCAATTCAATGCAACATTATTCATGCAGCGGTCGCAATGCGTTTCGCAGCATGACGTCACAAACCCGGATGTACCTGCGCACATGGCAACAGAGCATGGCAACAATCATGCAGCCATTACATTGCGATCTGCAACCGCAGATTCCAAAACACCTTAAAACGATACCCACGCATGAACAAGCGCCCTTTGCAGAACAGGGAGGAGCAACCGATTCGCGTCCGAAACGACCGCCGCCGCAACCGCCTCACGCACGAGCTGCCCTTCATCGCGGGGCATCAACTTTTCCCGAAAAAAATCGCTCTCCAGCTTCCCCCCGAAAACACACATGCAAGATTCACGCAGCCATTTCAACGCGTTTTGCAGCATCAGGTGGCAAACCCGCATGTATCTACGCACATAGCAACAGAACATGGCAACAGAACATGGCAACAATCATGCAATGCAGCCATTACACTGCGATCGTGTTATGCGATGTACTGTTATGTGATGTCTTGTTTAACTGACGTATTGTTATGTGATGTAGTGTTTTGTGATGTAAAGTTATGTGATGCATTGTTGGGTAATGTGTTGCTATGTGATGTATTGTTATGTGGTGGTGTATTGTTTTGTGGCGTGTTGTTATGTGATGTGTTGTTCTGTGATGTGTTGTTGTTTGATGTATTGTTATGTGATATGTGACATATTGTTGTGTGATGTATTGTTGAATGATGTATTGTTGTGTGGTGTATTGTTGTGTGATGTATTTTTATTTGGTACATTGTTAAGTGATGTATTGTTGTGTGATGTGTTGTTATGTGATTTGTTGTTTTGTGGTGTATAGTTTTGTGATGCGTTGTTATGCGGCCTGTTGTTATGTGATGTGTTGTTTTGTGATGTCTTGTTATGTGATGTACTGTGATGTGATGTATTGTCATGTGATGTATTGTTTTGTGATGTGTTGTTATGTGGTGTGTTGTTGTGTGATGTATTGTGGTGTGATGTAATGTAATGATATGGCCTGATATGTTATGTGATGTATGGATGTGTGATGTTTGTGATTTGATTTATTGTTATGTGATGTATTGTTATGTGATGTTTGGTTGTGCGATGTATGGTTGTGTTATGTGAGCAAAATTTTGTGTGATGTATTGTTTTGTGATGCATTGCTAAGTGATGTATTGTTGTGTGATGTATTGTTATGTGATGTATTGTTTTGTGATGTACTGTTGTGTGATGTAACTTTTGTAATGTGGTGTTATGTGATGTTGTCTTTTGGGATGTAGCATCCGGTGATATATTGTTCTGCGATGTAAAGATACTTGAAAAATATGTGGAGCTCGGAAGGTTGCTTCCTCACGTGCTTTGATAAATCTACATGTTTTTGAAGGAAGCTTAGAAGTCAAACTTCCGACAGTATGGATAGATGAAAAGAAGAGATGGGAAGAGTCAAAGAAGAGAAGAGCAGAAGAGAGAAGATCAGAGAAGAGAAAGAATCAGAAGAGAGAAGATGCAGGTGCGTGAAAAGGTAGAAAAGTCGCGACTCACTGTGTTTTTCCAATGATTCGTGGCTCCGGAGGGTCGAAAAGTATATAGGCTCGCTAAAGCGGCGGGTGCGGAGCCATGTGGTCAGATGAGAAATGAAAAGTTGCACGATGTTGCACGCTGTTGTGGCGCGAAGCACATTTGCAAGTGAAACAGCTCAAAACACCTCACGTTCGGACCACTTTTGGAAGTTGAACTGTCGAAAAAGTGCACGCCGTTGTCGCGCGAAGCATATTTGCAAGTGAAAAAGCTCAAAACACTTTGCGTTCGGAGCACTTTTGGAAGTTGACATGTCGAAAAAGTGCAGCCGTTGTGGCACAAAGCACACTTGCAAGTGAAACAGCTCAAAACACCTCACATTAGGAGCACGTTTGGAAGTTGATATGACCATTTGTCAAAAATAGTTGTTTAGAAGTTTAGTATTGGCTGTTGATAATTCATCTGGGTCTACTGTTTTTTCCTCTTCGTTATGAGGCAGCACGCAACTAAATTCAGCAATTCTGCAAGGCAGCGCTAGCAAACCCGCTAGGTTTGCGCTAGGTTTGATTGACAGCCATGGCCTCCATGTCGTGAATGTCTTGCCAGCTTTTCTTACAAGTCTGTCAGTTTCCACATATTCCCAAATTTTCGATTTTTTTTTACGTATTTTACGCGCTAGATCGCCGCTAGCAACGCGCTAGCGAAAATTGCAAATACATGCCCCGGTCCACCCGCAGCCCATTCAGAGGCACAGCCATGTTCACGCTTTGGTAGCTTACAGTGAGGAAGCAGCGTTGATCAGGAGGCATGTCAAGAAGCATATTGCATTCAGAGAGGCACACACACAGACACATAGTTCAGGAGATAGTACCAGCGACAGCGAATGAAAACCGACGTGCGTTAGCCGATTCCTGTGGTTTTAGACAGATTTCCAAAGGTAACGAAGAATTTCCACGTTTTCACGTCATCAAGGTAGGTCATGTTTTTTAAAGGCAAACATGAGGCGGCACGCATGGAATTGCGATTTATCAACAAAACCGGGAACAGGCATTTTGACAAACCGTCATATGTCGAAAAAGCGTACGCCGTTGTGGCGTGAAGCACATTTGCAACTTAAAAAGCTAAAAACACCTCATGTTCGGAACACTTTTAAGTTTACATTTACATGTCCAAAAAGTGCACGCCGTTGTGGCGCGCAGCACATTTCCAAGTCAAAATGTTAAAAAGCACCACACGATCGGACCACTTTTATACGTTTCAATGTCGTTTTGCGTGGCAGGCGCAAGGGATTGTGCACCTTGTCGAAAAAGTGAGTAAGACGTGAGGGTTTTGCAGCAGCGTCAAAAACATTGGTAGGTGCGAAGAGCCTGCAATAGAGGCATTTCGTGTGGCACGCGCAGTATAAGAGACATGTCCATCAGAGATGTTCGGAGGTCAGGGAGCAGATTTCCTGAAAAAGGTTGCATTTTGGAGCATCAAATCTTCAGGTTTGCTACGATGATTTTGCGTGACAGGTGCAGCACCTCCTATGGACCTGGCTTCACTTTTTCGTGGCAGGCGCAGCACTTTACAGTAGGAAAAAATTGCGAAACGCATTGGTACGAGGCCGTCACCTCAGCACTCCACTTTCCATTTTGGGAGGAAGTCTCGCAAAATTGCTTCGTTTCTTGATGTTGTCAACTTCGAAAATTGAGGATGCCTCGCAGAATTGCTTCGTTTTTGATGTTGTAAATCGTCAAATTTGCAGGAAGTCTCCCAGAAAAGCTTCGTTTTTGAGCTTTCAACTTCCAAATTTCAAGGAAGTCTCGGAGAATAGTTTCGTTTTCAAGCTTGCAGATAGACAGAGAGACAGGTAGATAGATAGAAAGACAGATAGAGAGATAGATAGACAGATATAGATGGGCAGATAGACGGACAGATAGAAAGACAGGCAAACAGGTAGATAGATAGATAGGTAGATTGATTGATTGATTGATTGATTGATTGGTAGATAGATAGACAGCTAGATAGAAAGGCAGAATGAGACAAATAAATAGAAGGACAAATAGATAGATAGATGGATAGATGGATGGATAGATAGAAAAGATGGATAGATGTATAGATGTATAGATGGATAGATGGATAGATAGATAGATAGATCCATCAGTGGGTTCGCTCTGCCGTCCATGATTCACCAAACCAATTTCTCCTATAGGTTTCCTATCTTTGAAACTTCCGCCACTGCCTTGTGCGGTACTACTGGTATCCATAGTTATAGATTTACCGCTGCAATGCCTCCTTTCTGCGGCCAAGCTACAGGTGAATAGGGGAAACAGAAGCCCGGTGAATAGTATGAACCACGCACGCCGCAATGCAAAGCACACATGCTCTGGAAATGGTGCTTCGCACCTGGGATAAATCTTCTGCAGATTTGCCAATTTAAAGGGAATTGCAGGTAATGGCTATATTTATCGAGCTTCCACCCTGCTTACATGTACAAGAAGTGGTGCCGCAAAATCGACGCCAAGCGTCAATGGCACCCGCCCCCCCCACGAGGTAGGTATATACCTTGTAAGGTCTTTTTCCTGTATCCCCCCTAAATAAACGGCCCCTGAACCATAAAATTTCGGATATGGTTCGAAAACTATTGGCTGAAAGCTATGGAGGACATTGGGAATGAATGGGCAAATCCAAAGAAAAAACATTAGGGACAAGGGGGTTGATTAATAAGGGGCAAACCCTGATTATTATTAATGGGGGACATGGGCTCATGGGGGGTACCCTTTGGGAGCTATCCAAACTGATGATTTTTATAAAGAATTTAATTAGAAATCGATCATTTGGGGAATAGTTGTTTTTTTCAAATATTCAATGGTCAGCAGTGATGGGTTCTGGTGTTCACGCGGTTTCAACTTAAATATAGCAAAAGGAAATCAAAAGGAAACCAATTGAAACTTTTGGATAAAAAAAACTGATTTCAGCACTGGTGGTTGATTAGTCATCCCAGGCCAAACGGTTTATTAATCCAGGGGGGCCACCTGTTTTTAAATTACTTTTTTGGGGGGGGCAGTGGTGGTTGATTAATCGAGAGGGATTAATTAATCCTACCCTGACATTATATAGGAATGTGAAGCCAATTACAGTATATGTTCCAACCGATTCATACATTTATATATAACTGATTGATATACGTATACATGTTTATATATATAATAATATACATGTGCATGTATGCATTTATATATTCAGCAGATAATAACCAGTTCCTCATAGATTGCACCAATATCTAGTCGGACTATGAAGCCAGTTTTTTCGCCACGTGTTCCGACTATCAGAGCTGGCAGCCAGTGGGCCCATGGCAGCCCTCCAGGTACAATGAAGTGCAGCGCTGGCTTCTGAAGGAGGGAATGCTTGGGAGACGCCAACTTGGGAATTGTTGGGAACTTACATGACTTGAACGGAACCCCATGGAACCTCCAAAATTGGGACTGGAAGATCATTTTCCCATGGATATGGCCAGGTTGGGGTTCCAGTTTGGGATGAGAGGCATTTAAAGCTGAAAGCAATGACACTCACCGGTGAACTGCATTCCAACATAGCCGTATATACTGTTATATACTGGTACCAAAAATATCAAAAAATGACCAAAACCACAGTTTTCAAATTCCACCAGGTGAATCATGTAGACCCTGGCAGGTAGATGTGGATGAGTCTGGTGCTTTGAATTTGGTGGAGCTCTTTGGCGCGCCAGATTTGAATACGTAGTGGAAGGTATGTACGGATGGTCATGATGGTCAGTCTGGCACAAGGGAAACAGCAGAACAAAACGGACATATGAATTGATTCCAGATGACAGTTTCTAGATACTGTGGTACAGTATGGTACCGCAGTGCTGGTATTTGATGGCGCTCCTGTAGATGCACGTTGTAGTGTTTCCAGCACCTGACCGAGGTTCCGCAAGCTGGCACGAATGCTTCAAGCCAATGATATGAATCACTTCCGGGAAGTCTTCGATGTCTATGTGCTGAAAGTGGGCAATTCAGGGTGGCATGACTGAAATCTTGAAGGTTTTGTGCGGCTTACCCGATCCATGATGGGAGTGTGACATGACCTGACCTGGCAACAGATAATCAACAGCTTTGACGTACACATGATGATGTTCATTCGGGTACCGCGATTTTATCCCTAGCCACATCCTGTGTGTTTGATTTGGGTGCTTCATTCTGTCCACCCAGGACACTATCTCGTGAGAATGCGGCGCAGGGCTTAGTCAAATGATTTTGCTATTTTCAGGATCATCACTGGGTTTTGCAGATCGAAACAACCGTTGTAAGTATAAGTTAATTTTATTTGCTAGGTGTACATATGTATATATATATGTATATATATAATTTGCATCATCCTGGGGTAGACATGCGAAGATACCACAATATATAATTAATTGATTGAGGTTTCTTTGATTTTTCTGGGTGAGATTGCTGTTGCTGCACATGTTCACCGTGTTTATCACAAGTCGCATTTCCAGGTCACTGTCCTCGATTCGATGGGCTTCTGCGTGGGTCCTGCCGTCTTTGACTCTGCGCATGTCAATGTACCTTGCCGATGCGCCGATGCTATCCTCCGCCAACGTAATGTGGGGGAAGGTCAGCCATTTAAAACAGGGCTGCTCCAAGTCACTAGACGTAAATCATAGCCACAAGGGAATGAAATGGGTCGGTTTACCTCTTTGACTAGCCCTTTAATCCCCCTTGTAACATTGTATCTCTGGGGTATTGGGA